AATAAGAGAAGACAACATTGCTCTGATACCACTTGTTGGTCCCGTTAGGGTCTACAAGAGTTTTATAGAAACAGTTTGTAGAAGAGAGGGATGAATACAAACACAAAGAACTTTTAAATTTAAATATATATATATATTGATAAATAAAGATCAATACAAATTTTTACAAGATTGTATGCGGAAATAGACGAGGTAAAGAAAACCTATCTAAAACAATCTAAATTTACACATATATACTTAGCAAATGAGAAAAGATTTGTTGAAAGATAAAGAATGAAAGATGTTCTTCTTAGGTAAGAACTTTTAGAATACTTGAGAGGGATTCTAACTTGCTTAAAGATGAGCGTAAGTGTTCTTAGATGTGTGTATGTTCTTTCACGTAGTTCACGTAAGGTATCTCTGCATTGAGAGAGCACACATCTATTTATACACATTGCATTAAATGCACATTTAATGCAATGCAGTAGGGTTTGAACATGCGTCAAGATATTAAAGAAAAGATTTTCCTTTGTTACAGTAAATAGTACAAATGCTTATGCATGAGCATACATCCTTTCATGGAGTTGGTGGGTAATAGAGTCAACTAGTCGGCTCCGTACCATACTATACTCTAGAAAGGGTATGGGTTTGTCCTTTGTGTGTGGAAGGACAAGACAAAAACAATCTTGCACAACAAGCTTCATTTGATCGTTGAATGCTGGAATAACACTTAAGGTCTCTTCAGCATTCCTTGAGGCTTTGGCAGTCTTCACACATATATTGACTAGGTTGTAATCACTGAATGTCGCTTCAGATCACGAACGCACTAGTCACTAATTTCCAGTCTCAGTCTTCGACTTTTGCTGAAGGTTCTTTGGTGTGAGTTTTGTCTTCTTGAAGTATCGTTGTCGTTGTAGGATTTACAATACATGTTTCAGCAATCACTGAACAGACTCAGTGTTGATCGTTGGAACTGAAAGAACAGAAACATAATATTTTGTAAAAGGTAAAAGGGATTATCATCAAATCAATAAGAGAAGATCAACACAATTAAAAAAGAAATAGAATAATAAGTTGTTTCCTGCCTTTCTAACCTTGTTGGGGACTTTATTCATAATGTGCCAAAAACAAAGCCTGTATTTTGAATCAGGAAAGACGGTTGCAATTGCCTGCTTCATCGCAGGACATTGGCCGGTAAGAATCATCAGAGGGGGCTTCGAATGTGCTTTCCGAAATGCTTGCAGTAGCCATTTGTAATTTGGACATGTTCATGTCCAACCAAAGCCGATCCAACAACGACATTGCAGTTATGGTTGTCAACCGCAGTGAAGGGAACAAAAACGATGAAATGTCTAAAACAATAAACATGTCAGTAATTAAAATTTATAAAAAGGCCATTTTCATATAAAGCAGCATATATGAACCTGTTAGTTCGGAATGTAGCATCAAAGGATATTACATCTCCAAATTCAGAATAATTGAATCGAGCGACCTCATCAACCCAGAAAATAGTATGCAACTCACTACCAACACAATTGTACTCGAAAAAGAAATTATGATTGGCATCCCTCTTCTTCGTCATCAAATCAACCAACACCTTTGCATCACCATGACCGACAAAATTGTCACAGTCCCTCTTATAATTTTGATAATCAACAACCGTTGGACCACCATATTCTTACCCTCCTCTCAGAGACCCATGCAACTTATGAGCGCGTGTGGCACCCATATTTGAAATACCGGCATCATGAACAAAACGTTGATCTGAAAATTTCATTTGGCATCCTTTTCGGGTCAAATCTATATCGCTGTGCCTCAAAAGTAAATGGTTATGCTCCTCTTCTAAACCGTAAAACTCATATGTTGTTGTTCCTTTCATCAATCAAAACTTGACACATGTTTTACATTCAGTCCTTTTAATATTCGAGTTCAGCACTTCTCTTTGATGTTTAAGGCATACTATCGAATCAAACGACTTTTTCAATGGCAACCCAAACTTACTACATACAAAGTATTTATTATGTATTATACCATCAGAATTAATCTTCTAGGATGATCGTCGTACCTCGAATCCTGCAGTCTCAGCGTATTTTTGGTATACCGATTTTGCGACATCCAAAGACGAATACACAGAACCGATAATGGGCTTCACAACTTCTTCGACTATAGGAGTAAACCAATTAGTACCATCCAGTGAGATTGATAAGGAATGATTTGTTTGATCAAGAGCTGAAAACATGAATTCAAAGAGACACTTAGTGATTTATTATGGTACCACCGGTTAGTGTAATAACTTATTGTCTTTAGTTACAATAGTACCGCAAACACGAATATAACATTGATACATACAGAGGCATTGCAAGTTCTAATACAACAAAGAATGCAGATAAAATTTATAAACTTACACATGTATTATAGTATACCAGTATCGCAAGCCAAAAGATAAAATTAATACACATACACAGTTATTACAATATACATTATGTTACAATAACTTTGGATAAGTGATACAAAAATGCAGAGTATTGCAGACATTGATACATAGAGGGATTACATGTTCTACTACAACAAAAAATGCAGATAAAATTTATACACCTACACATGTATTATAGTATACCAGTATCTCAAGCAAGAAGATAAAAATAGTACACATACACAGTCATTACAGTATAAGTTATGTTACAATAACTTTAGATAACACACTGTGATACAAATCAGGTAGAACACACATATTCGATAGATGTAACAAACTTTTTAAGCAGATGGATGAAACTCAAAACCTGGATTTTTACCATCCTGAATATCAGTGTTCGATGTGTATCCTGTTGTATCATCCATTCCATGAGATTCAACATCTTCTATGAAACCAATTTATTCACAATTTTTGTGAACCTGTTTGAATGGCGAAAGACCAATATCAAAGACTTCATTACTCTCCCAGGTTTGGACCTCCATATCATCTAGAGTACCTTCATCGGAGTTGATAGGCATTGAAGAATCAATCGGATTCTTGCCATTATTCATCATTGCCAGAGAAAAACTGGAGACGATAATCTTGCAAAAAAAATGGACTGAATTGATATTGTTAAAGATTATAGACTAAATCTTCATGAAAGATAAATGATTTCATCTAAAAATTTTGAATCAAATTCATGAGTAATTTAGGAATGTCAAATCAAATTTAATTGGAAGTTTGAAACGTATGGAATTAAAAAATAAATATTTAATCTAAATTTAGTAATGTACTAACATGTTCTTTTACATTAATTTAAAAAGAATAATTAATATATTAAAAATGATTGGTTGAGATTGGATCTCATGGTTATTACAAACAAAACAGTTCTCATTTTATTAAGCCCCTATATATGTGTGTGTGTGTATATATATATATATATATATATATATATCAACTAGAGGCATGGATGGGGTTTATAACCCCTTTTACAAAATATCCAAAGAAGTTGCAGAGGATAAGAATATAAGGTAGATGGCTAGATATGCAAAAAGTTCTCTGCAAAAACTGTCAGGACACAAATCATGGTTCGTGAGTTTTTGCTCTTCAAAATAGCACAAGTCATGCATTTGTTTTTGTCCAAAGTCCTCAATTTAAGCCTGATTTAGTCACTACACATGTCGTGCATTCCATCCTCACTATTTTTTTTTTGCGTTTTTCCATCTTCTCTTTTTTTTCCACACTTACATATGATTCATCGACATCCTTGCTTATCGGATGAACGCCAGCTTCATAAAGTCCACCTGAAACTCAATAAATTTGTTAGTTTTTTGAATGCGACCTAACTATGAAACAGAAGATGCATATTACACTAATATATGCACAAATTAACTGAACTAGGTTGCAAAATTGATTAGATTAACACCAAAAATATGTGCGAAACAACGAGCAAACAAATTCCCCAAGCAAAACTCTTCCTTGTCCTCAAGGAAACAAAATAACCCAGGAAGGAAAAAATGGGAGAAAATAACAGGGATACAAATTTTGGAAACAAGCTAACCATGTTCACAAAAGCGATAAACCATTATTTAAACTCTTTAATGTCCAAAGACGACCAATTATCGGATGTCAATTAAGAAACGCAAGAAATAACACTTATTTTACACAAAGGTCATTAGTAACATGACACGGAGTTCAACAAATTACACAAATGGCCTCAAAAGAATTTGTAAGCATACTGTAATCACTAAAAGATAGGGTAAGTGATCTGCTACGAGGGATACTCACGTAGTTTACCCGATGCTCTCATCTGTTTAAGGCAAGATGTTTACGCTAAAATAGCCTTCCCAACCAAGCATGTGCCTCATTCTTGACGCGTTTGAAATGATTCTCGACATCTAAAGCTTACCATGAAACTGCATATTAAGAGGATTTTTAGGCTTAAAGGGTGCTTGGGCTATGGGTAAAGGTATTTATTGGGTTATACAAATTTATTTTCATGTAAACATTTGATTTCATATTCAGTGTAAAACGTCAAGAGCATCTCAAATGGGTTTTTTCTTTTGCGTTCTTAATCAAACCCTTTTGCAACAACACTCTCTTCCAAATGGCTACCCTCTCTTCTATTTCTCCTCTGAATCAAAACATTTGTTCCTCAACCCCTCTTCACCCTTAATTTTTCTCCCTTTTCTCTAAAGAATATGAAGACACCGACTTAAACCTTGCTTTTGAATGTAGTGTGACACCATACTTCAATGAAATGCACTTAACAGATGTTTTAGATGTGCATTAGGGCCAACGATGGTGGGTGTAAGCAAATGAAAACGATGAAGGATTTGGTGTAATTTTGAAACTTGATGAATAATTCTTAGAGCTTCACTAAGCCACATGGACGATTTATGTAATCTGCTCAATTAAAAAACCATTGGTTCTAACTGGGGACTTGAATGAAGATCTTGGTTCTTCAAGGACTAATATTGTAATTTATCCATACTTGAGGATCATATATCAAAAGATTGATACTGTTTTCGTAAATTAAATATTACTCCAGCGAAACCCGCGGAAGCACCGCCGATCTCTCAAAACCAATAGACAGCGTCAATCAGGAGGAGAAAATCAGCGGCAGGAAGCCGTTGACATCCCGCCGGTGACGACCTTGCTCCGAATTCCGATCTCCGATCACTAAAATACGACAAAGATGACCGAAGAAGGGAAGAGCAGGGGCGTCGCTTTCACCGTCGGCCAGCAACCCTCGGCGCCGCCTCAACCCCAGCCGCCTTATTATTATGGTACGTTTCAAGGGGTTGTAAATCATCAACAACCGTATCCTCCGCCGCCACCGACTTACCAACCTTCCTTAGGTTTTCCTCAACCTAGTCCTCCGACCAATATTCATATCAATCCGTATTATGCACATGGCTATCAAACCGTTCCAGGTGCGTATGTGTACATAATTAGTTTGATTATATGTTTTACAATCTTATGCTTGTTTTTTTCCTTATGATTAATTTTTCTGATGATCCTTTGAATAAAACTAGATGCTGATCTTGCAATATATAACAAATTAAATTTGATTTAGATATGTCTATGGTCTATGGATGGAAATTGTCTTGGGGAATTTGGGTGTTGATTCTGATGAGATGTGCTGATCTTTGGTAAATTTAATTATCTTTGGAAATAGATTTGGGGCTAATGTACTTAAAAGAATTTAATTATCTTACAGGTGGAATAGATTCACTACTAGTATATATTTTGTTGGGATGTTGGAATATAGCAAATTAAGAGGGAAAAGACATTGTTTTTGGATCCAACAATCATTATTGGGTTGTTTTATGCATCTTCCTTCTAGATTTTGTTGGGTCATTTAGAGGTTTTATTTGCAGCAGTGGATGTTTTGGTGTCTTACAGCTGTAGTGAAGACTTTAAGAACCTCTTGGTGGCATGATTGGAATTTGGGTTTCACTGAGTTTCTCTTTATTGGTAAGGAGAACTCCAATAGGTCCCTATAGGATTCAAGGACATGAATTGCATCCTTCCACACACTCGTTTCCAAAACCAACTCCTTTGGTATATTCCACTCGTTGATAGTTTTCTTTTTACTTTTCGTTGTACTGCTTCCTCCATGTCAATCCTACTCACTTCTTACCTCTCTAAATGATCTCACCTGGGTGCCAATCCTCTCTTTGAAAGGCTTGTTTGATGCAGTGAAACTAGAAAGATAATTCTTTGCCTAGTTCTTCGTCTTATCATTTGAGAAGTTGTTGCAATGGATGTTGCTTGAGTTGTAAATGAGATTATTAAGGATGTTCAGTGACAGATAAAAGAGAGCATAAAGGATTTTGAAGAAAAATCATACATTTTTTGACTTCTTCATGAAGAATAAGTTTCTTCATGCATGATTATTGGTGAATCAAGATTTTGTATCAGAGTTTAGAGGTTTGAGCCTTGAGGAGCATTTACTTCTTTTTATTTAACCTTATTGTGTTAGTGTTGAGTAGAAAGGGTGAAGGGGGATAGCATTGTTGTGCACTACTGGAATGTAAGTTCTGCTTTTGGTTGGTTCCAAAAATGTTTGTTGGTCTCTAACCATGTTGAGTTGGGAGAGGGTCGAGTCCCTGCAGCTGAGGATGGTGTGTGTCTGAGAGATATAGAAAGAGAGGGAGAGAGATCGGGACTTGGTGAAAGGAGGAGTGTTGATATGGAAGGGACTAGGAATTCGTGTCAACCACACTGCAGTCTGTGAGATTTACTTACATGCCTTCATTCTGTTGGACTACTCTAAAGAAAATAGGTCAGGCTCCATGACAAGGCCACCAAGGAAGAAGTAGGTTCTAGTTTGGGCAAGAGAAGAGGCAAAAAACCAGGGACATAGCAAGAAAGTAGAAACTTTGACATGGATGGGGCTAGGAGTTGTGGGCCTAAAGATTGAATCTTGATGCCTAGCTCAAGTGGCAAATAAAAGCTAGGCCTTAGGGCTCCTCCCTATAGGCCGCCATTTCGAGTCTCCTTAGGGCCAGGTGGAAATTTCTCTGGCTGTTATCTTCACGCCCATGGGATTGGTTGAGGTGCACACAAGCTGCGCCGGACACCCATGGTTACCAACAAAAAAAGTATCTGGGAGATTGAGTTGTGGCTGTATCATTATGTTGAAGAAAATGAGTTGGGTTTCTTTACAACTCCGACAAGGAACTAAAAGGCTCACCTGCTGAAGTGAATCATCAATTACATGGGTTTTCTGCATCCGAATTCATCCAAGCATTGAAAATAAGCAACAGATTAGAAAACCAAAAAGTAATCACTTTCAATCTCAGATCTTAGCCTCACCAGTGACTGAGATAGAAAATGGACTTGAGATTTGATATGATCATTCCCATCTCATATCCTTGAAACAATCTCCATCAAGGGATAAGGACGACTATTGGGTTGTACCTCCTTCAGGCTTCATGTTCCGCTTTTAGAACAACAATGGACAAGAAGGCCTGTACTTCATAGGTACTTAAAGTCTTAAACATATAGACAGCTGATTTGTATAGTTAGCTATGGAATTGGTCAAACCACCAATTAACATGAAAAGGAGCCATGAAGATCCAAAACCGCATGGCAATGCTTATAACATTCTGAGCACCTCAAGTCGATAGTTCAAGTCTTTTTGGGGCCAATGCAGATTTTTCTGGTTGTTATATTTAGGGCCCTGTGGGATTAGTCAAGGTGCGTTGTAAGCTAGCCCGGACACCCACTGTTACCAAAAAAAGCTTTATGACTCGTCATAATGAAGTTGATCAAAAGCCATCGATTAATTGGTATGTCTCTAGTCGTGTGTGAAACTGTGAATTAACTATGAAGCTCTGTATGTCGAACTATAAATCTACTGTTGTTATCAGTTTTTTTGTTTACTTGTTATTTATTATGGTTACGTTACACTACTTGATTCTGCTTCAGGCTTTGTGGTAGCTGCGGGGACACCTGTGGTCATAGAGCGCTCACTTCCTTGCTGTGGTTGTGGGATTGGTTGGTTCCTGTAAGTATATATAAACAAGAGATTTTACACCAACACTATAGATCGTTATGCAAGCATGATTTAATTGTGTCTTGATGACACATTGCTGAAATTTTGAGTTGGTTCTTTGTGCAGATTCTTTATTGGCTTCTTGTTTGGGGCCATTCCATGGTACATCGGGGCTTTCATTCTACTCTGTGTGCGGGTGGATTACAGAGAAAAACCAGGACTTGTTGCCTGCACGATAGCGGTGAGTTTGTTTGGTTATTCAGAATGCTCTTTGACCTTGCTGAATTATGAGTATTGATGTTTTCGCTTCTTCATAAGTCCATGCATGCATATGTGGTGTTGTATGTATCTATGTATGTATGTATCTATGTATGTATGTATCATGTACGTATGTATATAACACATGCACAACATATGTAGCATATATAAATGTATGGAGGGGCAGGTTCATTTGAGAACCATGAGAACCAACTATTGATGATGCATATCATGATAAATATTCATTACTATTTACACGTATATTCATCTATACTATATTATAAAACATTTGACAAAAACTCTTAAAAACCATTTTTATGCATGAAGTAGTGTGTATTAATGCATACTACTTAAAATTTAAGATTACAAGTAAATTGTGCGTAAGTACAACTTATTAAAGCTTCATTTTTGAATTCGTATAACTAACTGCAGATAAACATAACCAAATACAGGATAACATCTCATTTTAAATATAAAAATGTAAAATATAATTAAGATAATCGTTGAGATCTAACAAAATCATTATCTTTATAAAAAATTCATTGTTAAGCCAAAAATAAATTACTTTACTATTTGACCTAAATTAAATTATAATAAAAAAATTGAATTAAAGAAATTGTACAAAAAACGAGAACTTTTAAATAGTTAATTTGATATTAATATCGATATATTTTTTCAAATTTTTATAATGTCTTCAAATTTATTTTTATTCAAAAGTAAAAACATTATCTTTCTTAAAACCACATAAACCATATTATATCAACATAGACAAAAAACAAAACAAAACATTAAAATGAAGATGTATTTCGCTGCATTGCACGAGTACCCTTCTAGTTATTAATAGTTGGTTTATCATGATTTTTAAAATATTTACGGTTCATAAATGAACTTTCTCCTATCTATGTATGTTTGCATGCATGCATGTGTGTCTATCACTCCTCTGCTACTACTACACCACCTCCATCGTCCCTTGGCACAAAACCGGTATAGACTTGTCACACAACTCTCAATCTGTCCCTTCCTTTTCAGCTGCATTTTCTTTTGATGTGGTTTTGGCTTTCATTGCTCTCACTTTGAACTACCTTTAGTTTCGATTTTAGGCTGCATTTATTTTCTCTAAGCGTTCAGGATTCTGATTACGACAATGATTTCTGGTTGAAACTTTTATCTCAGTCTAGTTATTCAATGTTCTTTCCATAGCCATTTCTTGAGTGCATCAATATTGTTTGATATGGGATTAAGTAATTTCTCTATATGCGAGAATCACCAATGTGGGGATTGTGATTCATCATTGATGATGATGATTTTGTATTGATGGTGGTGATCGGGTGTTGATCTTATCGGGTTTATTTGGTTTGGTTTGGTTTTCATGTAGTGATATGTTGGAATTGGTTGTGTGCAGGCATTTTTAGCTATGATTGCTGTTGGTCTTGGTGTGAGGAGGGTCACATATCATTGGTGAGCTTTCTGGTAAGAGTTGCATATTTGTATAGTCAGTCACCAGAAAGAAAACATGGGTTGGCTGTTGTAAGAAGCTACCTTGAAGGCAACTATGCTTGCTTTTTATTTTTATTGTAATTCTTGAATTATTTTGACACACAAGCTTGAAATGCCTTTGCTTAAAGACAGGTCACTAAGACACCATCAAAACAAAGTATACGACATAAAAAGCTAAACGAACCCGATATATCCATAGTCGGAGGAGGATAAAATGTATATGGACTTTTCCTCTACTCCATGATGGTAGAAAGACTTAACGTTGATGGTATTAGAAAATGAGTTATTTAGGAGAGTAATCTTTGAATCTTCTAAAACGTATGTTCTTGTGATAGATTTTGAGGTATTCTTGTATTAGGAAGATGCATTCTTCTATTAGGGGGTCTAAAATATGTTAAAAGGTCGTGTATTTAAAAAGAATATATGTCATAAGTCATAACAAGTTGTAAAGTTTGAGAAACAAAATAGCAGTTGTGACTTGTGAGCTCAACAATTAGCCATGCAGACTGAATTAGGTTAGGCACAACTCAACCCAACCAAATCTGTCACCGTACTGCTAATATATATAGACTATTCATAAGATATGAATTATATAACTGTTAGTTGTGTATCCATGCAATGTGGCCATTACAAAATATAGATTGGAGGAAACCTAGGAAAACAAATTCACATTCCAATAACATTTGTTTACCATCACCTCAGCAACTTGTCAAGCATTCTGCTGTGCACTTCTGGTTAGGATCCAAAACAAAGCAATCTGCCTGCACCCATATCATTATCATATTCTTTATCTTTTTTCTAAATAAAAAATAAAATTCATATTGCTTAGACATAGTAAGTAATTACACAACTGTGGCCATTTCAAATCAAATTCCTTTTACGAGAACGTGATGATACCCTTTTACCATAGACAATTGCATGTGATACTATTATTCCATCACATATAATACACATGTGATACTAAATCAGAGACGCGGACGATTTTTGATGCGATCTTGGTTGTGGGCCAAGTCGTCTTTACACCACTAAGCTCTTTCACAAGTATTATCACATGTGATAAAGTTGTTGATATTATACTATAATCCATCGAGACCATCACATGTGATGCTAAATCATAGACATAGACAACCTTTGGTGCGACCTAAGTCGTAGAGCACGTCGTCCGCACATCACAGGGTCCTTTCACGCGCATTATCACATGTGATAAGGATGTTCTCGTGTTCTCATAAAATGGAGGTGTTTAAACCTCCACCTATATATATATATATATATATATATATATATATATTGTCAACAATAGGCAACAAATTTCACCAGAGGAGGCTAATAACACCCCTAAGGTTACTAATATCACCCTTATCCTGTATATAATCATTCTTTTTTGTTTTCCTTTTTATGTTTTTGTCCTTTTATTGTCTTTTTCTTTTTTATACTAATTTTCTTCTACTTATTTTATTTAATTATAAATACACTACTATTACAACTATTATTTATTATTTT